ATGAAACCAAAGCCCGTCAATGGAAACATATCACACCAACGTACAGAACATCTTCAGAATCTGTTCTGTGTCCTTTCACTGGACTGCACACATCAGTTCCTCTCTTTAGATTGTTTCACTGTGCTCGGAGAGTGAAAGAAGCGTCTGTATGATTACGACTCTTTGACTTCAGCAGCTTCTCATCCTTTGCGTCTGCCGTGTTGAGAACATCTACGTGTGAGCTCAAGATTAAGCGATCTATCCGGTAGAGCTCTTCTATTGGTTATAGTGAACTGCTCAACAGGTTTCTTGTTCTCGTACTAATGAGGACAGATTGAGCACCGTTACTAATGTTGAATGAACGTGAATTAATCTTTCAGTGAATTGCGGGTATGAAAAAGTACCGACTCAACATATCAACCAAACAAGTAACTAATTAATGCAAAAATTAATGTAAAATTTGTTCAGTCAATTATTTGAAAATAGGGCCTAAAATTAAAGATGAAAACATGCAAAAACATGACTTTTTTAAACCAACTAGCAAATAAAATAATTTGAATTCACATGTTCCTGCCTGTTATTTTTCTAAATTAGGATTGAGGCAGAGTGTGATAAAGGGAAAAGTAAGAAGACACCAATGCACATTTTAGATTAGTCTGCCTTTGATCGGGAAACCAAAAGGATGTTTTGTTGTTCCGCGGTGAGGACACGGGTGCTTCTGGCAGTATCCTGAGTCATAGACTAGCAGGTCCCAAGTCTGTGTTATGCTCTCAACGCTCTGATCTGTAGCATTGTCCATAAACACCCCCCACTGTCTCTCTTCAGCACAGGACCAGCACATTTTAAATGGAGAAAGGGAGTCGTCAGACTGCACAGTTCAGCAGCCGTCTTAAGTCGTCTTTTAGCGTGTGGAGTGAGAGGCGCTCAGACTGGCAGGTATTCAGCTAGTAAGCACCAGCTGCTCCGCGGGGCGGGCTGGTAGAGCCTCCTGTCCGTCTTTCACTGCCCTCGCTCCGTCTGGCCGTCTCTCACTACTCCTACTCCTCCTCCTCCTCCTCCTCGTCGTCCTCGTCGTCCTCGTCCTCCTGGGCCGGCGTTTCTTCCTGACCCTGGGGCTCGGCCTCGGCTTGCGACTGTTCCTGAGGTGGTCTGGGTGGGGGCGCTGGAGCTGGGACAGGTGGTCGAGGGGGAACCATGATTTGGTGCTGGCGCTGCCTGTAGGCGACGACTGTGCCGAGCAGCAGGGCGATGACGGTCATGAGGTAGAGGTCCCACTCCGGGCCGAGGAGCTGGTCCAGGTCCACCTGAGTAATCAGCTCCTTTAACTGACAGGAACCAAAAGGCAGATGGGGAGAGAGAGGACAGAGGACAAAGATTAATTTCCTTTCCCTCTGATGAAATAGCTCTTAACTTGGTTGAATTACAATTCCCTCTATTTCAAGGCCAAATTGTCACAGGTCCAGCTTTATAATTTAAGATGATGTACTCACATTAAAATCCTGCAGGTACTGCAGAGTGTAAACCAGGCCCAGCTTGCACAGGGCCAAGAAAACTGGAACCTGGGCATCGGGACTGGCTTCAGCGGCCATGTCGTAGAAACGCTTAGCTAGATGGATGTCCTGCAGTAGCACATGAAACAATTCTCAGTACAATGAATACATTAACTGCACTCTGCATAAATCAATGTGACCGAGTGGATACGAGTGAAGCATTAAAAGCAAGCTGGTGTTCTAAGTGTCACCGGTGTAACTCTGTGCCCACCTGTTTGATGCCCAGGCCTTTCTCATGCATGTAGCCCAGGTTAAACATGGCCTGGGCGCTGTGCTGCTGCTCGGATGCCAGTCGGTAGTGGATGACGGCCGTCTCATAGTCCACATCTGTCCCGTAGCCGTAGAAGTGGTAGTCCCCGAGTTTGATCCTTGCCACAGTGTAACCTGGGAACGATGATTATATGCATCAACTCTCACTCCAAGCACAAGATTGAACGGACAAATGCAGCTGCTTTTCTGAGTGTAAACCAATCACAGAGTGTGTGGACTCACCTTGTGCTGCAGCTCTTGTCCAGTGGAGCAAAGCGCGAGGGTAGGTCTCATTCTCAGTGAAGATCCTCACTCCTTCTGTTTGTAACAATCCGTACAAAGAAAACAGTCAAAAGGTGAGAATGTTGCTTCTTCCAAAGATGGGTGTTTGTCAATACCTTTGGTACATTTGCATAATACAAAAACACAAGCATGTTTGCATTTTAACCGCATGTGCTTTTCACTTGATGATACTAATGCCTTGGCGTCTCTTACTCTGGTCCAGGATGAAGGCCACGTTGCTCTGGGCCACCTCGTAGCCCTGCTCAGCCAGCAGCAGATACTGGACCAGCGCCGCATCAGACTCGCCCTCCTTAAAGCTGCCGTAGGCCGACATGAGACGCTCCGACCAGCGACCGCGTTCACACACGTTCTTGAACAGCTGCAACCGAGATACAGACACACCATAAACCGGGTCTACCGTATGCAACAGTGAAACACGATGATCAACCAACGGAGACTAGAGCTGCAGCTCCAGGGTGCCTCACCTCCACAGCGGTGTGGCAGGAGCGCATCACACCGGTACCAGTGGCATGCATCTGGGCCAAGTTGTAGAAGGCCAGGATGTGGCCTGCTTGTGAGGCCAGGTTGAAGAATTTGAGTGCCTGCTTGTAATCACGCTTTACACCGATGCCATCTGAGGAACGACGGGACGGAGAGAAAGAAAAAACAGTCAATCAAATTGAGGAGAAAAGAAGTATTCTAGTCAACAAGGATATCCCTCTGATAGGAGGCACACAGACTCAGCTCCATCACTCACTGTAATACATGGTGCCCAGCTGGAGCTGTCCGTCCACCCAGCCCTGCTCCGCTGCCTTCTGGAAGTACTTCAGTGCCAGCTCATAGTTCTGAAGACACAAAATCAAACAACTTTCAAGCGGCCGCTCTGATTTCAGCCCGAGGGGACGCTGTGGCGGCTTGCATACCAAACGCCTTTTTTAACATTATTCCTATTTGCCTAAATCTGAAGCTGACAGATTTGCGCCACAGAGTAAACTAGAAATTAAAAGTTTGAGAGAGTGTGTGTTAAATCTAGACATTTTTAAGAAGCATTGAAATGTGTAAAGGTTTCTTACCACTGGGACACCTCTCCCATATAGGTAGGCCATGCCGAGGCCACTCTGTCCCACCGGATTACCCTGGATTAAAACAAGCATTACGTAAATGAAAAGGACTGCTTCAAAGCAACTTAACAACTAAATAACACAGGTCAGCTCTGAGGTACAAGTGTGTAGAGTAACAGCTGTTCCTCTCCAGAGGTATTAGGACTGCTGCTTTCTCTTAAAGAATAACTGATGTGATGAATGCTCACACAAACACTAAAATGTAAACGACCCAGTTCAGAGAGAGATAACAGACATGAGGCTGCAGCTTCGTTCTTACCAAGTCAGAGGCCTTCTTAAAGTACTGCAGGGCCGTGTCGTTGTTCTGAGGGAGATACTCGCTGCCTTCTGAGTACATCTAAAGGAAAGAAGGAGTGAAATCAAAAACTTGATGCACCGCCGAAAATACAAATGCACTGCACCGCCCTCGGTTAGAACAGTAATGCCAAATACTTGGCCTTGTTTATTTTGGATTCAATTTAGAACAGCTCTCAGCTCTCCAACCCGCTGACTGCTTCCCCTCAAGTTGTCACACAGTACGGGCGACATATTTATAATGTTTACAAATAGAGAAGTGAAACAGGGACAATGTCCAGCAAGCTCGTCAGTGTAAAAAGAAGACCGAAGTGTAATAAAACTGACTATTACAAACAAACAAATCTCTTTCCCACAGGCTAAGAGAGAGACAAAAGGTCACCACAGGCGTCTCACCCACCTTGCCGAGGAAAGCCATAGCATGTGTATTCCCTGCATTTGCAGCCTGGGTGAAGTAATCATACGCCCTCTGTTGGACAAGAGCATAAGAAACACATTTAATGGTGCAAAAACAAAATACTGAAAAATCCATCTTTGAACAAAGAAAGTCACCTGATGATTCTGTTCTACTCCGCGTCCTCCATGCAGGTGTAGCTGACCTAATCCCACCTATCAGCAGAAACAAGGAACCTTATTCACTTCACATATTTAGTATTATGTAGCATTGTAGATATTTGCATACAAAGTGAATAGTTTTGGACAAATCACAAAAAACTGAGTATGACCATTGTCAACTGCTGCTTTGTCTTTTAATAGCTTCCTGAACAGATTCACGAACAAAAACTGTAAAACTTGGCAGAAGATATGCTGTAACCAAGTCATTATATTAAGATGCATGTACGATATGGGAAGGTGATATCAACTCATTCTATCATATACATACATACATAGTTGCTGCATTGATCAAAGAACACTTATGGATGAGGACATTAGTTTTACCTGAGCTTGAACATCTCCTTTCTCAGCCAGAAACTGATAGTACTGGATCAAGTCCTCCTCCAGCATCCCACTGGTAGATCCCGGGTTCTCCACCTCATCCAGCAGCCTGATCCTCTGCACCGCCGAGCCCCCGGTCAGGGACACATCGTTGGCCACTAGAAAGCGGTGGCGGAGAGGAAAGTGGAGAAAAACAACAGACGGAAGAGAAAGAGAGTTTTGATCAGGTTATTTGCATAACAACGACCAGACAGTTCACACTTGAATATCGTATTAAAGAAATGCTCACCTTGATTTGCAACAAGTCTGTAATGTGTCAGTGCTGACTCACAGCTCTGGGGAACTCCCACACCGCCCCAGTATCTGTATCCCTAATGAAACAAGAGGAAATGTTTTAATGCACGCTAAGAAATAAGATGACTACAAACTGCTCTACTGACAAATCAACTCACCAGGATCATATGAGCAACCGAGTTTCCCCCCAGTGCGCCAAAGGTGTAGTAAACCAGGGCCTGACGAACACAGAACGCAGGTAAGATGTCAACAATTGTTGGACAAAGACACGACATTATTTTATTCAGTCACACAGAACATAAAACAATACCTTCGCTTGACTTGAGTTAACTCCAAGTCCTGCTGCGTACAGAAAGCCAAGAGCCTACGAGAAAGAAAACAAAGCAATTACAGCGTTACACAACTGACTCTCCAAGCACAAATAATAACTTGATAAGATCTCACATCCAACATGGCTTTTCTCCTCTTTACTTCAGTGATACATTAACATTTTCGGTTGAGATCTTTACCGTCTGAGCTTTAGGCGAACCCTCAATGGCAAGCTTCTCAAACATGTCTTTGGCCTTGGTCACGTTCTGGCTCATGTAGTCTCCAAACAGCATGGCATACGCCACCTTCTCCATGGCTTTCTGGTGGCCTTGCTCTGCTACTTTCAGCAGCTTTTCGTACAATCTGAAAGTGTGGTTTGGATGAACAAATAAAAAGATGCCGTGAGTGAAGTCAGATTGACACAGACGAATAAAAATGATGTGCACATAAACAGTAGTGACATGGCATCTAAAGCAAATAAAGGATGTGCTAATATAAGTCATGTGGTAATAAAGCACACATTTACAAATCCGATTATGTGGACTGCTTCAGGTCACATAATAGGATGACATTTTCTAACAGCAGGTTGATGAAAACCAATGGAATAACTCAGCAGGTAGAAACTCACTCTTTCCTCTGGGTCCTCCTGGTGGTGGCATTGAGCATGCGCAGGACCGTCTGATACTGCTCCTCAGCCTCCTCAGCCTGCAGCCTCTGCTGTGCCTGCTCCTCCGCTAAGGGAAAGAGAGGAGAAGCCAATGAACAGACAGATGGAAACCAAAAACTTTGGCAGCAGAGGAGGCACGCAAAAGTAATTCTTGAAATGAAAATGTGATGTGCTGTCATGGTGGTTTCCATCATCAGTAGTTTATAATAATCACTGAACATTAGATCTGTATTCAAGCTTCAAAACTGGACATTGAAAGTAAGTATACGTTTGTCACATTTGCTTTGACAACCGAGTTGAAGACTTACTCTCACAGAAACCCCACTTCTTCTCCTGGTCGTAGTCATAGATTGTGGCGCACCACAGCCGTCCATCCCCCCGTCCATCAGTGGTACAGTCCGAGTACTCCTTCCCCTGGAAGAGGAAGGGGAAGATGCAGGGCTCTCCATGGGCTGTGCCTCCATTCACCACAGGAACTGTAATGACAAATATAGTTATGATATTACACAAAAAAACAACTGAATATGGAATGACAACATAAAAACCTCCTTGTGGGATAGAGTAGAAACAATCAGAATGAGCCGTTCATATCTACATAGGGAGCAGGTCCTCTTCACGGAGCCGCCATGTTACACCGCCATGTTTCTACAGTAGCCCAGAACGGACAAACCAAACACCGGCTTTAGCAAGAGCCTTTTGCGTTTTCACACTACCTGAAGTCCACCGTAGCTCTCCAACGTGCTTATGAAACTGCCGTTTACGTAAGCTGCTGTATGCAAAAACGTGGTACCGCCACCCGCCGTGTGACTTCAGTGGCTCCTAATGTAGTGTTATTACGGGAAAAATCGACTCCGAGCAAAGTGAACAGCGTTACAACGCGCGACTATGGTTTTGCAGTCAGTGGCAGTCACTGATTGTGATGCTCTTCTTACACGTGTACAATAATTATCATTATCAGAAATGTAAGGAGGGTATTGCCCCTGCCTCGTGCTCACAACATGGCCACCATCTCAAAATGTACAGTAGCCAATATGTTTACATCATTAGTTTGTGTGCATCACCTGATGGCTACTGCTCCTCCCAGCTTGAAAAAGATCTGAATTCATCCCTAACTTGTATAGACGGGGGAAATGTCAATCAAGTCCTCTAACTGTGTAAGATATAAAGTAATTCGGTATAAAAAGGCTGTGTAGAGCTTTTGCAGGAGTATAAGGATAATAATCTTAGCAAATGTTGGAATGATTCTGGGAGCAGGAGTTCTTTTTTACATCTGTTGTGGAAAGGCCCAGAAGCACACATTGTTTAGGGTCGAAGGTAGTTTCTGTTATGAATTAAATGCTACATGGAAATTTCCCAGTTTGTCCTGCGGTTTGCTCATTTCTTACAAACCATCTTTTCACGCTGGGGTGCACTGGTAAGCGTGCAATCCTTCCTGCTTTGTAATAAGTCACTAGTTGGAGGATTATCTAGATCTGTTATGAGCAGCAGCCTTTCTTAAAACTAAAAGCCTAAGCTGCTACTGGAACATGCTTATGGACTTCTTACAAACACTATGAAACATAACCTTTACAGTATCATCCCATCAGTATATACTTTCTCTCCTCCATTTTGTGTCTGTAATATTGTAAATAAAAATCTTTTGTTTTTTAAAACATAAAAATTGCCACATCCATTGTGCTCTCTTTCTATGAAACAGCAGTCAGTTCTAATTAATATAAGTTAAAAAAAAAATCCATCTTCATACAAACTTAATGTTATACTGTAGGGAAATTACTAACAATCCCCAAGTAATATGATGTAACTGGCTGCAAGAGGAGCCACAGGTGCAGGGAGCTGTTCATTTCTCATGGGGGTTTAAGCGCTACCATGAAACCACAAACATCTTTGCTCGGAGTCAGCAATACTGAAAACAGGTCAACATGTCGAGACTTAACGAAAGTGACGAAATAAGACAGGGCAGTCTTCATTCTCAAAAACAGATGTGAAAACCTCACAGCATTGAGGAGTCAGTAAAGCCACCGACAGACTATCGGCAGCCACTCTAGCTATGATTGTAACTCATATGGAATTCAACTCTAGAATTTCCAACATCAACACGGTTGAATTTGTTCATGACCGTCAGCCGTTATATTTGAAACTGCATCAACCTCAAATCTCACTTCATTACGAGGTCATCATCCGATGCCGAGTGGCTCATCAAAACGTCTTAACACAGCTATGTGAAGCCTTACAGGATAGACAACGGATATAACCAGCCGTCATTCATCATGATCACAATATTTCAGGTGTGTCCACGTGCAACTGCGTGCTGCTTGAGTCAGTGTTTCTAGCTATTCCACTATTGCATCCATTTCTGGCTTTGACTGGACAGGCAAAACCACTCAAAAGTCAGTGTGCTACCAGAAAGTATGCCAGCTCATGATCTTTGTCCCACACAGACGTTTGAAGACACATACACAAGCCAAGACAACAAATACTGGCCAGAAAACACAGAGCAAAACTCAATTCATGACATCCAATACATTAAAATACAACAATAAGACGTGTTTAAGGATTTCCAGTACCTGAGGGAATACTCCAAGTTAACATGCATTTCTTTTTTTCCCCGACTGCATGAAGTGTCTACGGCTCACTGCTTGAGCTCGAATGAGAGTTACCTTACCCTCTTTAGGTTTCTCTTGGACTGGAGGAGGCTGCTCAGGCAGGTCCTCCTTCTCCTCTCCCTCCAGTCCCTCCGCCAGTGACTGTTTCTCCTCCTCCGGCTGGGAGACTTCATGACCCGAGGTCACAGAGGCACTGGCCACGATTTCAGACGCCAAACGGACGTCTTCCTCTTCAGTGTCCGGATCATGGTAAGACTGGAGGGACGATCAAGAAGTTATTGTAAAGTAACAGAATCATACTGCATATTAAAATAGGTTGTCCAACATGTCAAGTAAATCTTATTTATATAGAACAATTCAACAAATCACAAATTTGTCTCAAGTGGCTTTATGATTTTTATGGATGATCCTGCAACACTGTTGTCTCCTCACTATTTCTTTATTGCTTTTAGAAGTACAAGAGAATAGAAGCTTTTTGTTTGGTAGCAGATGACACCCCTCTGCTGCCCATCACATGTACACTTCTAACAGGTATCAAGTCATTCGTCCTCAGGGTTTTAACTCAAAGACCAATATCAAACGGCCTCATGGCGTACCTTTAGCTCTGGTCCGTCATTCCCATGCTGCTCTTCATCTGAAAGGTATTAATACGGCAGAGGAGTAAACACAGTGTATACTTGAGATGGAAAATAGCTGTTGGCTAAATATAAAACAGCTGCTTGCAACAGTTTCAGACACCTAACGTCAGACGCAGATATTAGCCCGTTATATATCATACTTACCAGCTGTTATTTCGTTGACGAAGACGATCAGCAGAATGGTCCAAATATATATCGTTCTTGCATTTTTAGAACACCTTTTATAGACCATTGTTGTTGATGTTGACAAGCTAACAATCTGCTAGCTGTAGCTGCTGCTATTTCTATCGCCAAACATTCGGTTACAGTTGAGTCACACTTTGATATGTAGCATAAATAAACTCACACACACGCTCAATTTTAGCTACTGTAGCTGTAGAACAAGCTAAGCTACGTTAGCAGAGTAGTACCTGGCTGAATGACGTTTAACGTCAGATAGCTAACAAGCTAACACAGCCACACAAACGACCAACCAAACAGCGCAATATTTGCAAGAGACGCAACTCCTCGGTCTCAAAAAAATGGTTGACCAGTACCTCTCGGTACTCCAAAACATCCGAGTTTAATAGCGACACGCAAAAGCTTTAACCTTTGAATTATATTAACCAGATACTACTTAGCTGTCCATGTTAAGCCCCTACTACTGATCGACACTTCCTATTCTCGCAGCTCGACCAATCACATCGCGTTTGGTTTGACAGTAGCCAATGAGCGCACCGCAAAGATGTGTCAGCCAATCAGGTGCGTACACAATTATGTTTCCAGTTGATGGGCTGGTCCCATACAGTGTATGGTTTGTCCACGACACCACAACACGTTATGAAGATAATCTTCATATGAACGGAAGAGGCGGTTGTGTTATTAGTATAAATCCGAAATATAGAAGTTTAACAATTTATATAGATAAACAAAATTATGTGGCCGTGTATGAAATGTGTCTTGCCAGGACGTCCAATAAGTATGCAGGTAATGCTGCACAACTGTCACTTATCTGCATGACATCACACGGTTGTTATTATGCAAACAACTTCTAGGAGCGTCTAGGAAATAAACAGCACCTAAATTACTAGGATGTTATAGCATCAGGCTTTGGACATATGTGAAGTTTGGTATGAGACTGATACATCTCAGGAAAACGATTGCAAAAGTATTATAAAAGTCTTTGAAAAAATGTTTTAGCACCTATTTTATGTCTCAAGTGTAGTTATGTGATGTACTGAGAATTCATTATACTGTTACCATATTAAATGCAAGCTGTAGGAATGCTTTAAAACTTGTTGTAACCAATGGATTTATAATGGCAGTATATCTAACTTAACTGCAGAAACATGCAACTCTTTTTACTAACATAAATAACCACAGACTTAATAGCTGTTATTTCAAGAGCACAGTCAAAATGCTTGAGGATAAAACAGATAATATACTACCATTACTAAGATTTAAAGCTAACACAAGTAGCCTATTATAAAATGTATGAGCATAGCTACTAGTTTACTTATATCACTGTTAAAATGGTAGGCTACAAAAGTATCAATGGAAGGCCCTGTATCAGGTGAAGAGTAAAATACTTAATACTTTAGTTGAATATATATATATTTATTGATTGTCCTTTTGCCTAATGGTTTCAGCATGCATAATAGTTTACACAATTCAATCCAAAACGCCATATGACCACTGCAGTCAGGATCGACTTCAACTGCTTCGACAAGGACAAGCGACTATGCTCCGTTAAATCTGGTGTCTGTCTCTGACCCATAGTATACCAGTGCACTTTGGCTCAGGCTTTATAAGCCCCACTAAAACCATTAGCACTCTGACCATTTGACTTACTGGGGTCATTAATTCTCACAGGAAATGATCAGGGCTGTCAGCTACCCAATAGGGGAGTTAGTGTAGGGAGGTCTGTACATCCAACAGTGGAGATTATAGAGCATGACAGAAATGAGCCAACTTAAAAAACACACAATTGTATTAAAAGTCAACAGATGTGGTAGTTAACTGCACTTTTATTTACAGGCTGTTTTAGTGGTCATTTCAGAGGCAATAAGACAAAGACATAATTATAAGGGGAAAAAACATTCACAGTAAACAAGATAATACAAGGCAGGGAGTGACTCAGTTCAAAACATTTTCAAACAGTGTGACCACAGCTTTCCACAAGAGAGATATGTTTGACTTTGTGGTGCAGATATGATCCTCCACAGGCTGTGGAAACCACACAGAATCAGATTAGACATTTGTTGAAAGCCTAGAGCAGCACAGCTATGTGCCAAAAAAAGATAAAATGGAGTTTTTCTGTTCTTGGATTAATACAATTTGTGTACTATATCAACAGACATCCAGACTGTGAAGAGTACTGAGCCAAACATTAGCCAAAGTATTAGCATCCACATACTTTTGGAACCCATCATGCGAGATCCCTGAAGAAGGCAATTTAATCAGTCAGCAATTTACATATCTTTAAAATGATCAATACTTTGGTAGAAAACTTAATAGGCAATTTATGACTTCCATGCCTAAAAACACACAGGCTACAATATATAAATATGTGTGTTCACATATTTATATGTAACACAATCCAACATCAACGGTTTATAAAGTTATAATGTACAGCAATATTAATGTAGCGTTAAAAACGGTGATGTCATCATTGCGTGCCCTAGTTAGCCGTTGGTGACGTCATCATTATAAAATGTTTCGGGGTCACCCTCCCTCGCATACATCTCACGGCACAGTAGTACTTCATCACCTCTCCCATCTCAGAGTCTCCCATCCAGTTTTGGACCCCCTAACATTCACTCAAACGTTCATCCCTCCCGGTTACAGTGAAGTGCTTTGATAAAGTCACATTCACGGACTTTTAATTAATTTTATTTATTTTTATATATATATATATATATATACTCAAAATTAGGTATATTTTTTATGTTATGTAATTCAGTCATGATTCAATAGAATTTATATATCTATTTATTGTCCGAAACTTTAGAATTTCAGCTCATTACTGCAGACACAACAAAGTGATTAGTGGCAATAAATCACAATACACGACTGCAATACTTACAGTATCACATAATATTAAGAATCACAATGTTGTGGCTTAAGTGCAGTGACAAACTGGGAAAAATGGTATGTTCCCTCCATGGTACAAAAGTGGTTTGTCAGGCCTCCAGAGATGTTAAGGTCAAGTGGCTTTCTTTCCCCCGGACAACTGTCGGAAACTTTATGCTAGTGGTACGCTAGGCCCAACATTTATACATGTAGCATAAGGCAGGGTAGGAAAAAATAGAAAGGTCTCAGTTATTGTAAACCCAAGCACATCATTTTCCCTTTTCTTGTCTGACACTCCGGTTGTTCAATTCAGTGGAAAAAATATTGCAACACAGAGTTCATTAAAAGGGGTTATAAGTTTTGAAACCGCCATTTCGACTTCCTACGAGCAAATGGTGCGAGTGCGTCCAGAACCCGCGTAAAACCACAGAGGTCTCTTCTCAGTGGGACACGGAGGGGACAATTTGGAGCAGTCCATTATCCAGCAGAGCATGATGGTAGGAAGGAATTTATCGCTGCGCGGCTCTGATGACCCATTCTGCTGTCGGGTTCAGCTGGAAGAGGTCTTTCATATACGTTTCACCATCTAGACATCTCTCCTCTGAGGGACGACAGACAAAGATGAGAGGCGGAGAGAGACACATTTATTCACCGTTAGGCCTCTTGGCTCACTAGCTGGGTAATCAGCAGAGAATATACAACATCTAAACATTGTTGTAATAGGAGCAGGACTTACTGATGTTTCCACCAATCTCGTAGAGACACAGCTCTTCCGGTTTCACAGCCACTGAACTGGGAGGACAAAAATAAAGCAAGAGGAAGAGTGAAGGAGACACGAAGAGAGAGGCCAGGTTTCGTATAAACAAGAAACTGTGTGTGTATTTGTACGAGTACTGTATGCATACACATTACCTGTCCTGGCTGAGGAAGCGGGTTAACACATCCGCAGCCTGCAACTCTCCAGTGAGCTGAACTGCCATGGACACTTTACTGAACTGTGGTGCTTGAACTCGAATGAATCCCTGCGAACTCTCCTGGTTGCAAACACAGACGGAGACAGAGGGAGAACGGGAAAACATATGGTCAATCACACCGCCATGAATAAACACTTTACAATGAAACGCTGTCCCCATCACACACAGACACTCACAAGAGACGGAGACTTCAGACAACAAGAATGTGGACTTCCTGCTCTTTTGTTTATTGTGTCTTACTATTTATATTTAGATATGATTCATATATCTAGCACTGCCATACATGGTCAGGTTTAAAATGTAGGCAAACCATTGCTACACTCTGACACCTTTGCTGGTTGTTTACTGGTGACAATGGAGTTGAGGCATACAGTGCTCTGCTCTCAAACAAGCTGGATATGGGCGTCAACTAAATCCTTTAATTTGAATCAATGCACATTATTATGTAGTCCTAAACAACAATACGTGTCACAATAATGTGCAGCAGGTGTTCTGTTTAATGAATCAAAATACCTTCTGTGAATCGCAAAATTGCACATTTCTTAGTAGGATTATTAAAACTGATTCATTAAAAAAACGACACCGACATAAACACACAAACAAATAAATGAATAGATAAATAAATAACATAATTAAAACTCTTACCTCAGGGACAGCTTTATCAGAGGGTTTGTCGGTGGTAATCTTCTTCAGCAGCTTTCTCACAGCTCTCTCTTTATTTTGTTTCCGATGGCTTTCCATGTTTTGATGTCTGACCTGGGTCATAATGAACTTGGGGATCTGGATATAACACACACACACACACACACACACACACAAGGTTTTATACCCTTAGTACACACTGTGCCATTCGATTTTGGGAGTAACTGTGTCAATTTGTTTACAGTGGTGATTTGAATGGCTGCATGAGTCAAGCCCGAGGGCTCTTTGTGATACTTACCGTCCAGAGAAGATTCTGGTATCGAATCAGCAGCCGGACGATGTTGGCTGTGCTTGTTGCCATGGAGAACTCCTGTTGCTCGGTCACCTTGGATCGAAAGCCTTTGAACATGAAGATGTTGGGAGCCATGACCACGGAGACATTGTTGAGAGTCATCTTATTCTTGGCCTGGTGGTCAATCACACGCTGGAAAAACTCCACTAGAGCCTAGAGGAAGAAAACAGAAATTTACAACAGAAATAGTCAAAATGTTTCTTATTTACTGCAGTGAAACATGAAGCTCTGTGCATTTACCTTCAAGGTATCCCGATTGGCCTCAGGTAACAAGAGGACCAGCAGGTTCAACGCTTGCAACTGCTGCTTCTTTGTGGGGAGCTCTGTAAAACACATGCATGCACAGAAAATGCTTAATGCAAGTAGACATGTCTTTAAAGCTCTCGTGATTAAGCAGAATACTTCACGAACGTACTGTTGACGGCAATAAACGCGTTGAGGTACTCCACAGTCAGCAACGGATGGGGTAACTCCCTGATGAACAGCTTCAAAAGGCTGGCAGCGTCGTGCTGCTTCAACTGTTCCCATTGAAACACCCCGTCGTAGAAAGAGGACTCGAGCTCCTGACACAGTGACTGGATTTGGGACAGATACACACAGGCAAGATTGTTTCACTACTTCATCTACCACAAGGATCACCCTTTCTTTACAACACTACAAACTTAACAATTTAAAGATGGTATTATGCATCTGTAGAGGTGGCGCTGAAATGCTTTAACCCACCTTGACTCTGATGGCCGCTCCAGGGATCCGTAGCAGCCCCTCTGTGTCTAATCCTTCCTCCTCAATATGACTAATAAGCTAGGAATGAGAGAGAGAGACAGAAATAGTTTGGGATTGCCTGCCACAAAAACATGATTTTTTCCAGTCAGATGGCTGAGAGTACTTTTCTATATTTTTTAAAATATCTTTCATGATTTTATGTCGCAGAAAGTCCTCTTTACAAATAGATGTTATTTTGCACGAAGGGTTTGTTTTGTACATGGAGAACAAAACGCTGCACAATGGATTCACCGGACTGAAAACTGAGAGTGCAGAAAGAGACAAAGATCCCTCTGAGCAACAGCTGACTAAGAATAGAAGAAATGACCAGTCATTGGTAAAATAAACTGGAGGGTTAGCAACAAAATGTGTGCAGATTTTAAGAGGAACAAGTTCCTGTTTCAGTGTCAAGTGCACAATAATGCCTAAAACAAGCTGGAATATTAATATATTGTGTTGGTGAAGCAAAGCCATTCTTAAAATATCACAATAGAAACAGAAGGTTGGTGTAGTGTTAGCACTTTTGGAATATCATCTGAACATACTGACGAATCACAGTTTAAACCTCTTCAATCTAAATACTGAGTAGACTGCAGAGGGCCCAAAGAAAAAAAATGGCCATCCAAAATATTTAGAGCCCAAATAGAAGCTCTGTTGTGGTTCAATAATGATTGAGGGTCACTTGTGCTTTTCTGGCACAAAAAAAAAAAAAATAAATAAATAAAAAAATCGAAGGGTATTTGAGGGAAAAGTGGTTTCGACAGTATTCTGTCCCTGGCATGTAACACTGTAGGAACATCGACTAAACGTACGTTTTATTCATTAATTCTTCTTCTTTTGGGGCCAAAACTATTTGAAATGTAAATAATACATTTGGTGTTTGACTTATAGTCTTTTTGTCAAGTGTAAAGGTAAAACATCTCATGTAGAAAAGGTAAAGTCAGTCGCACATACTTTAGATTCAGGTTGCACTGTGTTTAAAGTAAATTAAAATACAGTAGGATGCATTGACATATAGCTGCTGTTCTATTGATTCCTATTATAAGATTTCCTCTCATCGTAGCTGTAACCCTGAATCGTCCGTGTCTCAGACTGACAATGTGACAGGCTGGTCTGCTCACTCACCCTCTGCAGTATGAATGGCACTTTGGTCCCAGCAGCCCGCCTCTGGTCCTGATCCAATACAGTGGCAAGGGGAACACCAAAAAGACCACTTTCTGTGCGCGCGCACACACACACACACACACACACACACACACACACACACACACACACACACACAAATATTTAGCCAAACAGAAATATCTTCATACACCACATTAGCTGCACATGTTTACCTGGAATAAATGTTAATTTGTATTCAGTTTAGTTTCTATTTCTTTCTTTCTTGTGTTTGCGTAAAGCTCTCACTTGCTGTTTTTACTCTTTTTGCTTATTATGTGTGTGTGTTTACCTTTAGTCTTAACTTTGACAGCTTTGTGCGCCTTCAGGTCTATCCCAGCAGTGTCAAACAGAGCAGTCGACTCCACAAGCACAAGTCTTCGCACCTGGAAGAACATTGCAAACAGACAGAAAAAAAAAAAAAATGCTTATAAATAGTAACTGGTTTTAGGCACAACTCAACAAACTAATCTCTTATAGGGCTGCTCGTCTCATGCAGACGTCATAAAATAATAAATCATGAAATAAACAGACACGAATGCATCCACAGATCATAATATCTCGTCCTAACACATTTCCCTTACTTACCTTTTTCATATCCAGAGGAGACAGATCTCCTATTCTGGTCTGACCTGTTTTGTCTCGGAGCAGCTTAAAGTTCTGGAGAGGAAAGTCGAAGGCAGAGGGAGACAGAGGGGCATCAGTGGGAGACGCCATTAAAAGGTAAACACTACGCCAAATTAATTCTGACTGAATTTACTTTTACATTAAACGCTGAATGTGGGCTGTGTCATACTAAAATTAATGAGAAGTGACTATAGACCTTCATGAACACTCTGGACTTCATCTGTTATACCTGCTTCAACCACCAGATGTCACTACAGACACTCAAACTACTCACACACACTAATGCAGCTTTCTGCTCTCAACTTGTATGTGAAAGACTAACTGTACATACAATATTCTAATGTCTGTTGTTGGATTTAAAATTGATCTGCTCTGTATCCTGTTATTACATTACAGGGCCAAACAAGGCAACACAATGAAACCTGACTAAACTATAACTTAAGAATAGCATTTTTCAACGCCAGCTGTTGTCATGTAGATCGAGCATAAAGTAAAAGCATTGGTCATAAAGTAGATACTTGTCTGGTTGTAAAACTGCGAGACAAACCACAGCTACTACCCAACTATTTTAAGAATTAATGCGATTACATTACATTACATTTATGTGCAACAAAGACATTTTTTCACACCTAAACGTGCGCAGTGAGCAATAAAAAAATAAATAATCCTGTGCTGTGAGGTTCTTCATTTTTTGTTGACAGATGTCTCTCTGCTATCTCTGGTAATCATTGACCCACAACAATTAATACGTTATCAATACAAGCTCTAACATGACCCGGCACTAAAGAATGCAAAAAGCCTTCAAAGTGGCACACAGTGTGACTGCATGCTAATGAACAGTACACGCAGTTTATTCATTGTATCCTTAAATAAACACATAAACACACGGCTGAGGAAGTGAAGGTGCACATAGTCTTTTGTGTGCAGGTATGTGACTCACTGGTAGTTTGTCGTCAGGTGAGTTCGGGCTCGTGGTGACCTTTGACATTTGGTGGTTGTCCCTGTAAGTGAGCGCCTGCTCTGAAAACGCCACTTCGACGTTCAGTTCCGTCTCCGCTTCTGCTGAGACACGCACAAGAAGAAATGAGGGGTCACGACCACACAAGAGGTGAAGTACAAATGTGTTTACGCACTGTAGGCAAAGTGCAGTTGTGTATATACACAGAGACAGACAATTAAATGCGTCTTACTCTCGTTAATGCAACAGTGTTTATGTAACTGCAGCACAAAGAGGAAGAAAAGAGAGGCCTGCTGCTTGTTCTGTGAAGACAACTTCTCTATTGGTGGATGAAGCCAGACAGTTTTACTTTTTAAAGTGATGTACTATATAGAAAAGTTAATCAATCTGAGGTTGTGAAGATCTGAAATGGTGAAAATATTAGACCATTTCATAGTAGCCACAAACAGCCCTTTCTATAAACATCTGCTGAACTCTGCACACTTGTGCTGTATTGTATCACATAACAGATCACTTCTAATGATTTCTATTCTATTATTTCCAAGATGTGTGTGTGTGTGTGAGTTGCTAGGCAGATGTTTATTTGGGCCTCAGTTGGTCATTCTCTATGGTGACTCACACCTTACATGTCTGTGTGTGTGTGTGTGTGTGTGTGTGAGCGTGAGTGAGTGTGTATATATAGGAGTATGTTGCACGCACCAGCTGAAGTGACATCTTTTTGTCCATTCTCGCTTCTCTCTTTGAGTTTACTAGGCTCCTCATCCTGCGGCAGATAACACAGAGACACACATAACTGTACAGCACGCAGAGTAATGTTCAACCAGGAACATATTCACACACACACCCCTCCCCGTTACGTCTTTCATGTTACATATTATCCTGTCTGTTAATTAGTGGACAAACTGTGTGCCCAAGTGAAAAAATGTGCAATACTCTTGGTTCAAAACAGTGTATTCTGCTGACAGGAGTAGATTTGGAGTAGCAGTAATACTTTTACCCAAATTAGTATAAGTACATATACTTTTAATATGAATCCAGTCAGTCCAGAGTATTGAAGGAATTTTGCAGTAAAAGAGTTGGGATTTGGTGGTGTAAAAAACTTGGTGATCGGTTACTGATTCCCACCAGACTGGAGCAGTAACAACAAGCGCACATCTAAAAGAAGTTGTGACCACTTCCTTTGTGGTAATTGTGTCATTTATGTGTATTGTGGTGGGATGTTCAAATCATGAAGGGAAAAACAGTATCAAGCTCTTTTTCACGACAATTATCTGACATGATTTCACCGCTTACTGTGACAGACCTCAATTAACACAATTCTGAAAAGAAAAGAAACTTTAAACGGCAATCTACATTTTGGGAAATACCCTTGGGATACCCTTTGATGTTGACACAATATAATTAGTCCGAGTTTGAGTGTGTGTGTGTGTGTGTGTGTGTGTGTGTGTGTGTGCATCCCCTCACTTTTTCAGGAGGTCTGAATATATCCCTAACATCAGGAACGTGTTGCCGGTTACGCCGCCGCAGCAACGTCTGCTGTAGCGACGTCACGCGACGTTCTACCGCCGCCACCTGAGATCTGGTCAGTGTGGACAGGAACACTGCGTTGTCTTCTTCCTGTCAGTCAATCAATCAGACCAAAGCATGAGTCAATAGGTTTAACATCTATCCAGTATATCTGATGACTTCTTCAGACTCTTTTTGTCATTCTTACTCACATAAGCAGGTTCAAAGCATGGTGTAAGTAAACAGTATAGTTTATGCTCACTGAGAGGTGTGAACTGCAAATATGAAACTGATAAACTATGACTCAACCTAGACTTAGTATTTAAGTAAGGGACAGACGATTGACACCTGATCCTGGTCAGCTGCCAGTGAATCATCAAACAGCCGTGCTAGTCCCGCCTCTGTAAGCCACGCCTCCTCCTGTTCCCCTTCTGAAAGAGAAAATGAGAGGAAGATTAAAAAAGGATTTTATTTTTGATTTGTTTGGGGGGGGGATTCCTGAGATGGTACATCACTATCACAATTATGCGACTTAAAATGAAGGAAAGGGGGAGACTGGTATGAAAGATGACAAAAGTCTTCAGTTATTAGCATGTGAGACACAATTCTACAGGTGCAGGAAAGGGAAAGGTGTAACCACAGACGGAGCAGGACAAACATTCTATACAGGAAGTGTGTGTTTGCTTCAGAGAACAATAGTCTTCATAAACAAGTTAAATAAGACCCATATAAATACACACATACCTCTCATGCAAAGCGAGAATGCACAAGTCTGAGTTGGCAGCGTGAATTTTGGTGAACAGCTCGTATTTACATTTCATAACAGCCTCTCCAGGTCATTCCACTTCTCTATTCTACCTGTTCCATTGTACATGTCTGTGCTCAGGGGCCCATTGTCTCGTATACCTGCCATGTTTGGAAGCACATGCCCAAACTCCGACACTACATTATCTCTGTAAGAAGAACGCTCTAAATCAAGAATAAAAAACACACAATGTGTCCATGTACTCCAACAGATGAAAGAACAGGGGAAACATGTGTCTCTTTGAGGTCTATCCATGGACACGGTGTGGCCTACCCTCAGGAATTTTCTGCTGCTCCTCCTCTTGTATTTCCCCTTCTCCTCCACCTTCTCCCCTCCCCGCTTCTCCTCCTGAGCGGGTGATATTCTCCACCTCCTTCCAATAGTCGTCCATCTCCAGCTCGTCCAGAGAGTCCTGCGATACATGCGAAGATACGCAAAGAGACATATACACAGATGAGGATTTCACCATTTACTTTCAAGTTCCCATTCGTGTTTTCATATCTTGTTTCTGTCCTGGGCAGGAGCTTTTGTTGATCAGATTTGATGCAAATATGAGAAAAAAACACAATATTTACAGCCGTCTCAATTGAAACTGGCTGTGCTTCTCTCCAACACACACACACACACACACACACACACACACACACCACCTGGAATTTAAATAGACATTAGAGCATATTTCTCCAGTTCCCTCTGCTTTTCCAAAAAAGGCATTTCATTTGAGTAAATTTGTCGGTTTATTACCGAGTCTCCGTGCTGTTATTGAGCCCATGCTCACTCTCAGAGCAATCACCACTCAGACTGAAAGTACAGCCTCCCAGAGAGCCGTAAATGACTTTAAACAAATGAGCGACAACAATTGTACGTCTGCCAAACAAACCCCCTGTAAAATGTAAACGGTTACGATTTAGACATTTACGGCAGACATTCTTATCCTAAGTTAGTACAACAGTAGAAAAGGTTGTTGCCTGTGAACCCCAAACACCACTGAGGAAAATGAAACACAGCAATACTGGGATGGTAATTAACATACAAGCATTATTATTAGTTCCATTAATAATTTAGTAACAGAACTATACATTAATTATTTAAATGTATTATTAAATAAAGATTTTGCATTGTTGTCTGAATGGTGACAACTGTTTTCTTTCGTAGTTATCTGCCATTTTAAATCATATGCAGCAGCAGTGCAACTTGTAAATACAAACTTTCAGACACTAAAGACAGCAGAACAGTACAGTGGACACTGTTTCATTGAGTGCAGAAGGTTTCCTCCCAAAACAAGAATCAGTTGAAAGAAATCTGCTCACCAGTGAGGCACTACCACAAATTTCTCACATCACTCTGGGCCTACCTGAGAGTTGCAGCGCTGACACGGTGGCCGCGGTCTGGACCTGGAATTGGGACTGTGTCTGGGGCTGGAGCCTGGTTTAGGGCTGCAGGAGGGCTGAGACCTGGGGTAAGTGAGTACTGATGGTGGGTCAGTGCTGGTGGCTTTTGTACCGCTGTTGATAGTGGAAGGACCAGATCTGTCTCCATGTTGTGCGCTCTGGTTCTGTTGAACAGTGTAGTGGCCTGTTCTGCGGCTACGAGAGAGACACAGACAGGTGGCGGCAGAGACAGAGAAGTTAGAGAGTTAGAAAGATAGATATCGGTTGGCACAAATTTCTAACACGTCAAAATCTGACCGACATGCCACAACAAAACGAACAGTCTTATTGCTGTGCACTTTGCACCTTGTTTACCAGTGACGTGATAGATTCCTCATACCAGCAGCTATCATAAAAACATCCTGGATCATAACCGGTTGTGTTGTGCCCTGTAAAGAGAAGTGTATGCAGCAATGTTTTAAAAGACAGATTTGATCTTTGCTTTGATTCAGAGTCATGTTGCGATGACATGACAAGAGAGAGATAGCTTATACACGGTCAGATTGTTAGACAGACGGACGAGCCCGCAGTACATTGAATTCCCAGTCAGTCAGCCGGGACTAAGAATAGCAGCTCTCACACAGCCAGCTCATCTCAGCACACAGTAAACTCGTGTTGTTGTGACACAAATGGCATGGCTTTAATAGTTATTGCATGGGAGGGCTTAAAGGGACGGTTCACCCAAAAATCATAAATACATACGTTTCCTCTTACCTGTAGTGCCATTTATCAAACTAGACTGTTTTGGTGAAAGTTGCCTAGTTTTAGAAAATCGGCCTTAGAGATGTTCTTCTTCTCCAGAATATAATGGAATGATATGGCAGTGGGCTTATGGTGCCAAGATAACAAAACAATAACAGAAATGTCCAGAAATCATGACCCGGTTACTCAAGACAGACCTTGTCCTACATGAAACTGCTTTTACATCTTTTCCAATTCTGTGAGATGTCCACAAACATGCGCATGTGTGTGTGTGTGTGTGTGTGTGCGCGCGCGTGTGTGTGCTTGTAAGTCCTTGGCTGGGTGGAGCTGAGGTGCCAGCACCCTAATTGGGAACACCTGGTCAGTGTTCCTACACTATATAACCCCGCCTGCCCAGACGCCAACGTCTCACCTCTCCTGAGGTTCTATCCAAATCCACTCAACCTTCTAGCAATGCTAACAAGAACACACCCAAAGGGTTCTACCAAGAACCCTTTTAAATTCCCAGGGTTCATCTAGAACCCTAAAGGGCCGGGGCACAACAATCATGGTTCAGTCACAGTTTTTAGGGTTGTATCAGTTCGGTTGTGTGATTTCAACATCCTTGAAGAACTCTTTCTTCCAAAAAAGGTTCTTTGGATGTAAAGGGTTCTTAACGAAGCTCTTTATGTCACAAAGAGCCCTTGGACAACCCCAAACAATCTCCCAAAAGGGTTGTTCAGAAGCAATTGATTATGGGTATAACCTCAGCCCTTTAACAGTCATTTTAGTACAACTGACTGATGGTGTAGCTGCTCTGTGTCCCATGCCGAATCAAGCTGGAAGGTTGCTATCATTCTTCCACCCACTCAACAATCCTCAGTTCAGTCTCAACTATCCAAACACAGCTGAATATTTGTCAGTGGGGCTGTTAAAAGTTGGGCCCCCACCACAGTAACGGCTGACGCTGGACGTGTCAGCCGTTACTGTGAGGAAAAAGCACATTTCAGGTCTCTGTAAATTAACAATTGGTTCAGTTTCTATTTAACTTTGAAGACAGTACTGTCACATATTTACAAACAACATACGTAGTGACATCATGTGGGCCGACGTTTAAAAAAAACTTTAAGTGAATTAAAACAAAAACTTGTGAAAGATTTCTCAATTAGGTTTCTAGACATCCAAGTCACTACAAAATGGAAGCAATTAAGTCAACAATTATGTTTCAAATATACTAAATCAACCAATTTGATTACGTTTCATGATCAGACTATTAGGACACGAAAGGAATAGTTTGAAGGCAGGCTGAACAGCATCGAGTCGATGTTCTATATTAATTAATTTGGATTTATCAGCGGAGCATTACACTGAGGGTTCACGCAGAGCCAAAGCCACATACCACAGCTGACTTCCTGCCCCCCCCCCCCCACACACACACACACACACAGTGTATAAAACCATAAAAACACTGGGTAATATTAGACAAACACTTAAGATTGTTTTTTTTTTTTTACAAAGAACATCAGGTATTTTAACAACACTTGACCTCCTCCTCTCCTTCCTCCGCCAATCTATTTTCTTTCTCCACTTCCCTTTCATCCATTTCCTCTCCTCCTACACCTTGCCGGGGACTTGTGTCCTTCCTTTTCCTTTCTACTTGGTATGTCACCCGTTTTCCTATACATCTCTCTCTTATCATGGTACCATCTCCTCGGCTTTCTCCCCTCCTCCCAGTAGGATCTAGACACAGCACTGTGTGATAAAACCTGCAGAGACATGCTGTCCTCTCATTTCTTTTCTCACCAAACGAAATGTTTTCATTTGTGAGGAATGGAAAAAATGTCTGCGTTTTCTGAAGTACTAGAGAAGATTTGTTTAACTTAGAAGCAGATTAAAACCTGGCAGACACACACATGAACTCCCAGGAGTTAATGATTTACCTTCATCCACAGCTACAGAACGGTTTGACAAAACCATAAATCAGAGATTAGCAAACACGTACTAACCAACGTTATTAGTTTGTCAGTGTTGCTAGTTTAAATTCTTGCTTAAACTCACAGAATGATACTTTGTGTTCACACTGATCTTACATTGTATTAGTTTTAACCGCGCTAGCATCCAGGGATGGCAACGTTCAACTGTCAGATGGTTTGCCATGAGGTTTTGTACAGACATTCGTGCTCCCCAGAGGATGAATCATAATCACTAAGGTGATCCCTTAATATTTTCTCATGCACCATGCTAATTAGTGTTAGCATGCTAACCCACTAAACTATGGTAAACCTGCTAAACATCAACATGCTAGCATTGCCAGTGTAAAGATGTTGCCGATGCTAGCGTTAGCATTTGGCTTCAAAGCACAGCTGTGTCTAAATCTCAAGCAAATATCAAGGAAGAGCGGAGGACTATGAAGCAAATTTTTCAGTTTTTTTTCCCCGTCTTTAGGTAAATGAACTTCCCAGTTTGAACACTTTAGCTCTTATTAAATCTGTCTGACACACCGCAACGATCCAAAGTTGACAAGAAATATGTGTAACTATTGACTGGATTTAGAAAACTGTGACGCAACCATCGGCCCTTGCTCTGAACTTAGCAAAGACACCTCGTTTCCCATTTAACTCTGATCCTGTAATAGAAAACATATTTACAACCTGTTAAAAATTAATCTTAAATCTTCCAAGTAATTATTGTTGACTACTCGACGATCTGTCAACCTCAAAAGCATGACAGGCATGCTTCCTCTAAGTCAATTGATCAAAATAATGAGATATTAGTGTGTGCGGCCATCCCGGTTTATAAAAAAAACGCCCTGAATAATGCAAACCAGTTATTCAAAGCTTTACAAACAATGCTACACACAACTTGGCTCCTTTCTCACACACACACACACACACACACACGCTGCCCTTGTGAGCAAAACAAACACATTCTCACCTTCAAAAAGGAAAACAGTGCTGCAGCTGTGTCACTGTTCTACTCTTTGTACCTTTATCCGCACACCTTTTATCAGCTGCTTAGAGCTGACGACAAAGAAGGAGTGTGTGTGGTCGTGTGTGTGTGTGCGTCTGTAGAGAGCTTGTAAGGTGCAAACAGGAACAGAAGGAAACGGTATCACCCAACAAGGAGCAAGGTCAGCACTGAGGAGTTGAATGCGAGTCGAGATGTTAGGAAGTGAACTCTGTCAACTATTGGTGCGCACACGACCCGAGTGTGTTTATAGAGTACCACTCGGTGACAGAGATCCCAACTAAACATTTAGTTAAAAGAGTGATTCTGCATGTTCAGCACGTTTACAGGTATATTTAGCTGATAATCCTTATTTAGTCAAATATTGAATGGTGGTAATACTACTTTTACAGGAATACATCAACATTTTGGGAAATGTATTCGCTTTCTTTAGCGAAGAGTAAAATGAGTATATGGAGACGGAAGATCAGATTTATTTTGATGGTTTGGCAGCTTGAAAAAGTGAACAATGGGCAGCTGAGGATGTTTTGCAGAAGGGGAAAGAGGATGACAAGTGTGTGTGTGTGTGTGTGTGGGGTATTCCCATTCAGATCAACAGGTGCCAGCTGCCCTCTGTGGAAAACAGAAGCTGCCTCTGTTCCCGCTCTACTGGTTGAATAAATCATCTGCGTTTATTTCGGTTGAATCTGCCAGTTTGTTTTTGTCAGTCTCTCTGCCTCCATCTCTGTCCAGCACCCTATTCATTCTGTTTTTTTGCCGGTCTCTCTCTCTTGCCATCTGTTTCTCTGGATTAAGCCATGCTTCTGCTCATTAATAGTTGTTAGCTTTGCTAACCAAATTCCACTTAATGACTGTTTCCTTGCAGCCCGCAGCTCTGCTGACATCTTGTAACCTTTTACGGCTTGCCTTCCTTTCTGCAGATGTTATTTCCTGTGCAGCGTTGTATTTCTGCTGCGGGGTCCGGCCGTCTGTTGCATCACACAGTGAATTAATCTGAACCGTGTGTGTGTGTCCACTGACTAAATCACACTCAAGATGAAGCACTGGTTCCTACAACAACAGTGGAAAACACCAGGAACGTGCTTCTCTTTAGCTTAAAGCGGAACTTCTCCTTCTCAGAGCACTTAAACCTCCATGTGCATGACTCCCGTGGGACACGTGGCCTTCGTAGGCTCCTTATGTCGGATGTCCCCTGCTGCTAAAAAGGCAAGAAGCTTTCCGTCCGTCTGTGTCCCGCTGGGCTCCATTTCCTGCCTCGGGGTAAACTGACTACAAAACTAAGCCTCCACGTTAACCTAGACAGGACACACACACACTCTGCTGTGGGAGGTGAGACAAAGGCAGACTGTAACGTGATGCTGCTTTTTCCCCCTAGTTAGCTGGTCAAGCCATCTGGAACACACACACAGAAAAACACACGGGCAAGTGTGTGTGTGTGTGTGTGTGTGTGTGTCAGCTGGACAGTCTCTCTGAGCCGTTTACTTTCACCACACCACGGTTGTTGACAGCAGTTGTTTGCTGATCTAAACATGTACTGGACGCACACAGCCAGCGCCGGCCTGGATGGATAAAGAAGTGTGCCCCGTTATAAATAAAACACTTAACCGGGACAGTCGTTTCCATGTGAGCTTAGGTCCCATTCAGTGCTTTCCTCTGTGAGAGCACCTGTAAGATCCTGCCATGAAAACAGAGGATGTGACCGTATCGTAACAAATGAATGGAGAAACCACACAGATGCTTCCATACAGCTCACTGAAAGGTTTGGTGAGGGTGAAAACAACAACGCCTCAGCCTAACTCAACACTTACGGGAGACATGAATCCATTGTGTCGGACATTGCTCTCCACAGCAAGCATAAAAACACCAAATCAGGGAGAATGTTTTGGAAGAAAAACATCCAAAGACTGAGAATCTGTATGCTGAGGAGCATTGATGCTGCTCTGTGTCCCAACACTAAGTTAAGACACTTAATGTTGTTTCTTTTCTCTTCATTTGTACCCATCTGTATTTTTCTCTACTAAAATATCACACTTTTTATATCTTAAGTCATTAATCATGGTGTATTAGCGTCACTAATGTGGTGACTTGCTGCTTACTGTGTTTCATATCACTGTGGACTGAATATCTTTGGGTTTTGGATGGTTGGTCCGACAAAACACCACATCTGAAGATGTTAAATTGGGCTTTGAGAACGTGAGATTAAACGATTAATTGCAAAAACGATAATGTTAATTCATAATGAAAACAAGGAGTACTTGCAGTACATTTTACTGCATCAAGAGACATGGGTGTAAAACACTCCTTTTAACCCCTTTAGTCCTGCTGCTATACATGGTGGTTGTTTCCACATGTTTAGAGCTACAACTAAAGACACATTTTCAATATGGATACTTCTGTTGATTAAAATGTCAGAAAACAGTGAAACGGGTCCTTAACAATTTCCTAAAGAGACATCTTGAAATCACATATTTGGCATCTTCATTGAGAAATGACTTAATCACTTGTCAAAATAGTTGCTGGTTCAGCTCCTGTTGGTTGACCAATTGAATACTCTTTCAACAACAACCTGGTGGCCATTTAATGTCACTAAAACCTGATTCAGAACAACGGTTCTCCCTTTGACTCTCATGAGACCTGCAGTGGAGCAGAAGAGTTAGATATTAGGCAACCTTGCAAAATCTGAACTAGTATAAATAACAAAGTCAAGGTTAACCAGCTGATTAGGAATAAAGGAAAAACTAAACCCAGAGGCCAAGCTAGGGCGGACTTTGCCCCATCATGGAAAATAAAAAGTTTACACACTGAAGCATGGTGGCTTTCATTCAAAACATATTCTGATCAGCTCTCAAGTATAAACATGAAGAAAATATCACTGCGACCTTTGTTCTCTCTCTCTCTCTCACACACACACACACACACACACACACACCCCTTTAGCTGCAACTACCTTTGCTATTCCAACAACACGCACAGACATACATACACGCGCGCACATGTCGCACCTGGGCGCGGGGGGCTCGTGGTCCTGGGCTGACGCACAGCTGGGTCCAGTTTTGGGCAACAGTTCCGCGTTACTGTGGTAACCCGTTAAAACCACTCCCTGGGACTGCTGCTGCTGCCGACTCATATTTCTCCTCCTCGTCTTCTATCGTCCTCTGCTCCCCACACAGCCGACATGCACTCACTAGCTGATCGGTGCTCGATCTAACTTTCTATTTTCTAACGCTTTCCATCGCTGGACTGTTATGTTGCCGACTCATTCTGACACCAAACTCCCTCCCTCCCTCCCTCCTTCTTTAGTTCTCGTCTTTCTGCACAACTTGAGTGTTTGCGAGGCAGGACGGGGGCTGGATTACAGATACGACACCGCGCAGGGATTGGCTGAAACCACAAGGGGCAACGGCTAATGGCTGGCATGGCGCCCCCTGCTGCTCGAAGATGGTACAGACTACTTCCTGGTGCAATGCTTCAATGGATGCCATTTTTAAAAGAAATAAGGATTTTTGGAGGCTGTTTTCACACCATTTTCTGTCAAGCTTGACATAATGCATCTGCTTATTAAGTGCACAGTCTGCTGCATAAACATGCTTTCACACTTTTTTGGACAGTTATCTTAAATATAGAGCCAAAAATAAACAAGGAGATGCTTGAGGGTCAAAGTCAATGCAAATGATCATGCTTTTTAGTTGTGGAAAGCAAAACAAAACACCAAAAACAAGAAAGAAGTAAAGGTGGCTTCAATACAGGCCTTTCTTTTTTACTCAAAGTTTACTCAAACAACTAACACTGCAATATGAAACATGACATAACTTAGTGCAATCCTCTGTGAAATGAATGATCATCCAAAGCACTCATCGTTGTGAAGAATGGTGTCGTAAATCAGTAATGTGTTAATTGATCTATTTTTAATAGATGGTCCAGATGCTTGTTTAATCATATTTAATATTCCAAAGTACCTGTTAACAATAGATCTGTCAGGTAAATGTGGTACATACAAACCAGAAATACCTCACAGCTATGTGCTCATATCGTGCACCTCTAGTTTTAAAACCAAAATCTCTGGATAGTGTTCATCGCAGCAAACTTAAAGCACATAATACCACACCCTCAAACACTACATACAAGTCAGAAAACGTTGAGTGATGCATGTTTCAGCAGACATCAAAGTGAACTACAAATTCCCAGGTGTTGCTGAAAATGTAAGAAAAGATCGGCACCTGAATGTGGAAGAAATGCCTTTTATTTCTTTACTACCAACAGTCACACTAAAACATCAACACGTGTCAGAGAGAGCAGCCTCACACACACATTTAAACAAATGAGGATTACGCACACAGACGCCGTCTCTCCTTCTCTCGTTCCTCACCTGAGATGAAGGTAGCAGGCGAGTCTGGAGGCCATTGTGTCCGTCTGTCTGTGTCCACTCACAGTCTTTACCAGAGCACGACCTGCTGGCCATATGCTGGGAGATAATGGTGCAACACTCACACACTGTGACAAGCGGATTAGCCAGAGAGGTCAATCAGATTTTTCGGCTCCTCCATCTGCCCGTCCGCACTTCTGATCCCCCCCCTGTCACCTTACCTCCCTCCACTCCTCCGTCTGTCCAGTTTCTACGAATCACCCTCAGACTCTGCTGCATTGTGCCACATACACACATAATATGGCAGTTAATGAGGACAGTAGAGTAACTGCTAGAAGAGGGAGATGGTTTATACTTACAGTAGGTCTGGAAAACACATCATGGAATAAGGTAAATTCAAGAATATCTTCAAGAAGTCTGCTAGACATCTAACTTGAACATTTAAATTGTTCCTATTTTAAAGAGTCAACTCTCTCACATCTTTGTTGTATTCAGAGTTTTTCCACCAAAGCTTGACTTTAACATTTCTCATGCACAGGTTGCTTAAAGTGTGCCCCCTGCTGTTTCATGGTACACACAACAACTGGCAGCCCTTTAATCAAAATGTACTTAAACCACGCAGACTCACTTAGCCCTTACGTCGGTGAGACAAATCTCATGTGGGACCAAAGAAAGACTGAAGTGAACCACAACCACGCCGCTGAGGTGCATTGATGAAGTCCATAAGTCGGCATGTTAAATGCACAAACTGGAAAGAAACTTAGTGGCCATGTCCTCTATTAATTATCTGCCACAAACGCACTCACTATGCATCCCTTTGTCACCAGATAAACAAAGCAATTTATATACGGACAACCATCATTTCTACATCTGAGGCCATTTATTTCAACACCGAGAACAAATTCTGTAGGAACAGGAATTCAATTATCTTCTAAATCAAACAGGAGCCAAGTGTCAAGATTCATTTTAAGAATAACAGATCGTGAAAACGTGCAATTTCCATCAAAAAAACAACACAAGATATCTTTACAAACATTCAATTTGTTTATCATTAATACCTCGAGAGTGATCAGACCCGGTGCAAGTATTTAACACTCCAGCAAACAGTCTTTATAAAGAGAATCTAAGGAGAGGTGCATCATTATAGAGAACTCAACATTCCCTGTGACTGTTCATGCAAATCTTCTTCCAGCCGTCACATTTAGGTTTTTTCGAGGCGAAAGCAAATTCCAGCAAAACATACTCAAACAGAACTGTTGAGCTACAAAATGAACAAACAAGAATTGTAAAGAACTAATTATTTTAAAAAGGGAAATAACGATACAGCTGTACAACATTATTTTATAACGTGCAAAAAAACCCACAAAAAAGTTAAACTTTCAGAATTTGCAGTGGAGAGAAACTGTGCTGTTCTTTAGTCGTAAAGTCATCTGCAACACACAACATGTGAAATGAGATCAGTATTTAGGAAAATCTCAAACCCTGTCCTTCTAAATTTAGTTAAACTGGACCCCTGACAGACAGACAGACAGGATCTCTTACCTTTTCACTCATCTTTACTTGCCCCTCAAGTCTTTGAACATCTTGGCGTACAGTTCCTTCTGTTTGTCCAAGCTGTCTCTATAGCATCTGAAATATGGAAACAGTTTATACACATACAATATCTTCAACGGGACTTGTGGCCTCGGGTAGCGCTGCCACTTTAAACTAAAGCACCGAACACTCGCATACAATAAGCATAAGTGAGTACGTTCATCTTACATTGCCACTTTCCTCAGTAGGTTGTTGATGTCGGTGTCAAAGGGCTTCTTTGCTTGAGCGGTTATGAGGCAACCCTGGGCGCTCTCGTACTCGCACAGCTCCAGATACGCCTGACGGAGATGACATCAGTGTGAATAATGGACTAATTGTTATCTAGAGTGTAAGCAGTCAGCAGCAGAGCTGCAACGATTAGTCGATCAACAGAAACATAGTCACCAAGTCACCATTTTTTCATGCAGAAAATGCTGTTTTCAGCCCTTTGCTGCTTTTTGTGTTCTATATCATATTAAATTGAATATCTTTGGGCTTTGGACAGACAAAACAAGACATTTAAAGTCATTACTACTGTCATCATCCCTATTTTTAACCTCCTTTGTGACCTAAAACCTTTAATATCAGACACTTAAAAAGACTTCCAAGAGCCTGTGAGGATTGTTTATCTGACGGTTTTGAAGACAAAAGGATCACCCGTCTCACCTGACCGCAGCGGAAAAGAGCCTTTGTGTTGGCAGAGTCTATCTCCAGGGCTTTGTTGCCATATTTCAGGGCTTTATGCGGGCTGTCTAGACGGAGCTCAGTGAGAGAGAGGTTCAGATAGAGAGGAAGCAGAGCTGTCTTGATCCTCTCTGCCTCCGCATCGCTCTGTGTTTCCCTGTTCCCCAGCAGCAGCGTTGCCTTGGCCAAGCACAGAATCCATCTTTACAAGTACACAAAAAAGGGCAACAAGTACCTGAAAATGGAGCGCGTGTACACTCTTCCCAGATTTACCTGTTTGTAGCGATCTTTGGCATGGTCGTAGCGGCTTTGGTTGAAGCAACGGTTGCCGAAGCTGCGTTGCGTGCTGACAACATCGAGGAGCGTGGACAGAGGAACTGTGTTCTGCTCCTCCTGAAGACAGAGAATGTAAAAAGCAACGCAAAGTCGCCAACAATACAAACCAAAATATAGTTGCATGCATAACTGTATGGAAATATTAATAAATCTCCTCTTAGTAGTCTGACAAAAGCATTAATTTGCCGTCAAGTGGAAGAACAATGTGTTGTGTCTTCTGACCTCACAGCACTCTCAGACTGTGACCTGAAGCCTCCCCTACCAGACTCATCGTGATGAAGTCGTCCACTTGTCCCGAGTCGAGGAAGTCGAGGATCTGAACCTCGTACAGAATCACAGCGGCAGCGGGAATGAGCGGAGGACAACCCATGTCCCCGTAGGCATACTGGGGCTGGAAGAGGAAGCGAGAGAACTCTCCTTTCCGCATGGTCAGCAGACCGAGCTCCAGTCCGGCCAGCGTCACATCTGTTTCAATGACCATTTAAAAAGCTGTGAGGAGAAAAGGAGAAAACTTCTATTGAACCCTGCACTAAGAATTACTGACCTCTCCCTAACTTCATCATCCGGGGGTACTTGTAGTGCGTGGTGGTTTCAAAAGGCCGGTCGGAATATTCCAGGAAACTCGAGTAATGGACTGTGGAAGGAGAATGAGGAGAGGTTACGGCAGGGCAGAAAAACTTGGCAAACTGCGTCGGGAGTTTTTAGAGAGAAATTCCACTTGTAAATACTCAATACTGAAGCGTTTTCAGGTACAGGTGGGCCCTCTCCAGATTGGACCACCTCCTTCAGGATCCCTCCATCGCCCAGGACATCGTTCATCTGCTGGCAGAGTTGATCGAACGGACTCTACAGAAGGCCGAGAAAAAGCCTTGAAATAACTCCACATTGCAGTACTTAAGTTATTGGCGTATGTCCAGACATATCAAACATAACGATGAGAAAACTGCTCACGAAGGAAGGCTAAACAGCAATTTATGCTTTTGTCAGCTCTTATTTTTCAATGTTTGTTTATTTGTTTTTGTCACAAGACTGAGGCTGCTGTGCTACAGTGCATGGCTTATTAGGCTTACTGCACAATTTTACTTTCAAATATGTATTATTTGTACACTTTAGACTACTTCATAAGGCTGTTGTATAACCAACACCTGATGTCAATCAATTGTGAGAAGATAAAGTTAATGTAAAAGCTAAATTAAACTTTAACATCACGTGCTGGCACTCTAGCTTCACCTACATTAATCATAAACTGTGCCACATGGTACAAGCTAATAATATGTCTTAGCTTTAGAAAACAGACTGATGCAGATGTGACTTATCAGTAACGTTAATGACTTTAGCTGAACTAGCTGGACTGCAGTAAGGTGGATTTCAAACGTCAGTGTGTTTTTGCTACAGCTGCTCTCATGTCACCTATTAGCTTAGCTAGTTAGCTCGCCATGCTAACCCGGTTCAACACGTGTTCACACACACTTACCGGAGTGCTCCTCGATAGCCGCTCTTCGGGGCTTATTAACCGCCGGATACTGGCTATTAACCCGTTTCCTGACATTCAGTCGGTGGGTTAGTTACGGCTCTGTTTAGGCAGGTTTATTTTTATTTTTATACCGAAGTTAACCAGGCGGCTTAATTGAGAGCAAGAGTAGTTTTGCTGTGTTTTGGCGCTCAGGGAGGCGGAGTCAAAAAGTATGCGTCAAGGTTACTGACTCCTGCTGCTGCTATTCTTCCCATGTTTTGTTTTTTTTTGTAGCAGAATACACAAACCAAACATTTCAAAATAAAATATATGCTTCACAACGAAACATTTACTTTCTGTAGGCCCCAAATTCTCCTTCTCATCCGTGACTTTGGGAGCGAAATGGCTGTTTTGATCTAATATATGCGTTCATTTCAGAGCCAGGATGTCTTTGTTATCAAGGCAAGTGCCACTTAGGCCTCTTCTAGTTTCACACACATATATATATATATATATATATGTCATATATATATATATATATATGTCATATATATATATATATATATATATATATATATATATATATATATAGACATATATATATATAGACACAAACACACACAAAAAAAACACATTTTGCTTCAAGTATTTAATCTAAATCCAGTTTTATCTTATATATCCAACCAGAATTAAAATACAGGTAATGGTAATAATTGCCTTCAGACTACAACACTATACTTTACACTCTACAAACTTGGTATGTGACACATTCAGTATAAATATAACACTAACATTACAAAAGTAACATTGCTGACTTCACTCACCATTGGATAAATATCAGTCAGCAGATTTGTTTTAACTCAGATTTTATTTAGCAGCTGTAAATCCAGTCTTTTACAGAATGCTACGAGTGTCATCTCCTCTATTTGTATTCAGTTAATAAAGAAACAATACAAAACATTATTTAAACTGTACAGAATATGATTTAGAAAATAGACAAAGTTGGGCCATTTGTACAAGGAGGGATGTGCCTATTAGCTAAAAAACAAAGTAAGGATCTAGTAAGGAAAGAGTTTCTTGTGGTTGCTTTTTATAATAATACAGTATATTCTTGATAGCCACACTGTAGTTGCTCACATCGATGTTAATGTGAACCTATTAAAAAGTGAACCCAGTGGATGTGTCCGGACCTTAGATTAACAAGTAAACCGATTAAAAGCTTTTGTCATTAGAAGTTCTGTAGTTCAGCTGGATAGACAAAGTTGCTTCTGAAGAGTTTATGGGCCATGAGCTGTCCTCCAAATATCATCATCACCAGGCCTGAACCTGCAGAGAGAGGGATTTAATGATTAAGAAAAAGAGATCAAATCAAGGAAGGTTTCGCAGCCAGCAGCTGTCCTCAAAAAGCCTTAATCTAAAGGGATGTGGGAAGTAGGGCTGGGCGGTTAATCTCTCGATAACAGTATATATGGCATGTTGGTCTATATGAAATAACCACATGGATTTGTTTACTCGTGTGAATTAAATACATGTCAAATAAAAAGTACTGAGTATCTTCTTACGAAATTAAGAACTTTAGTGCAAAATAATGAGATTTCTTGAAAATGTTTAGTATTTGCTTGTTATTATCAATTTAGTAATTGATCGATAACTGATTTCCTCAAGATAAGATTCCATTCAAAGACAATAAATTATCATATTGAAATATCGCCCAGCCCTAGTGGGAAGTGATTTTTTTGTAAGTCTGGGAAAAGGCAAAAGAAATATCTTGGCCAGATAAAAAGGAGACAAACAGAAATAGAGGGCGGAGACAGCGAAGGATACACATGGAGGGGTAGAGAGAAGAAGAAAGTAGAGATCTTACCCAGAGCTATCCACCAGTGCTCAGCTGAAGGGAAGTCCGACATCACTGCAGAAACATGAAAACTGTGTATTTGATGTAAAAAAAACAACTACCTGTACATAAAACATACTGCACATATTCACTCTACTGACAAGTGAAAGATGTAGAGAAAAGGGTGCAAGTTTAGGATGTTTGGCCTTTTCTTTAGGTCCTAATCTTTGCAGTATTATAGTGTTTTTCTTTTAATTTGGTTTAGAAATGTATTTTGGTTCTTTAAATTCTCAAAAACAAATGAATAGTGCCTGTGTGTGTGTGTGTGTGTGTGTGTGTGTGTGCCTATACATAACCAAACCACTACACCCAGTTACATAATCAGGCCTCCAATCCTATCAGCTGTTCCGCTCTATTGATCCACTTTGTGTGTGTGTGTGTGTGTGTGTGTGTTTACCTGCCACAGTCATCGCGATGTGCAGCAGTGTGACAGTTATGGCGTAATCCCAAACCCAATCCTCGACAATCCAGGCGAATACCAGCCCTCCCAAAACATAGGTCACTTCTGTGGAAATGACACCAACTGGTGGGAGGAGGAGAGAAAACAACCAACAACCAGTGTGATGATCCTCCTTTACTGATGTAAAAGTTTTAAAATACTGCTTTAAAAATGTTACCCAAGTAAAAGTACAAACACAAACTCATTAAAAGAATTACTTAAATGATCAAATGTAAAAGTAGTCACGATGTAACACAATTATTTGTAGTATAAAACATGCATATGATAATCCATATTATACAATTGGATTATTTCTACTGATGGATTCATGAGTTTGCATCTTTTTTTAATGTTGTTGCTGGTGGAGGTGAAGCTTGAATCTATAACAGCACTTCATATTTTATAAGCTGATCACATGGTTCATATGTAAAACCTAAATCTGCAAAGTAGCCTGTAAATAAAACTTTAAAATTGATATAGTGCAGAAAAAAAGTACAATAGTTGCATCTGAAGAGTAGTGGAGTACAAACCAGGAGATCAGCTGGTTACATTCAAAGCTCTCAACATCATGTAAACAACTTTCATTTATTTTTAGACCGCTGTTCAATATTTGTACGTAAATTGAACGAGCAGTAACCTCATACTCCTACATGTAGACGTGTAAAGTAGCATCACATTTTAATACTCCACTAAACTACAATCACCCTTGAATCAAACTACTTGAGCGATATTCCATCAGGGCTTCTCACCGAGGTATTTGGGGTTCTGCCATGACGGTTGTGTTGTGTAGTCAAATGGAGCCAACAAGCTGTTGATCTCATGAACCCTGGAGACACACCACAAGATAACAAACGGTAAATGTCCACTTTGATTTTTATTTTATTCTTTGACAACAACTTTTTCTTGGAGCAAACTGTGGAGGCTTGTGCAGTATTTGTGTGTACCTGAGCAGTCCGATGCAGAGACTGACCACCATGTAGTAGAGAGAGTAGAAGCACACCATGCACATCAACAGATTCTGTAGGACAACCTGAGGAGACGGAGAGATATTTATTAATTTCACATGAAACCTGCTGTGTTTTATAAAGCAGCAGCTCTAATATTTTCTTTCTGAGGAAGAGTGAGGAACAGATGGCGTCTTATCTCTATTTTCAGTTACGTATATTGAATAATGCTTGACCTAAAGTATACTGTATGTTCCTGACACTACATTTACAGTTATTTCCTTTTTCCTTCATTTGACTGCTGACTGTTTACAAATTACAACCCTGAGGTTAAATTAAACATTTTAATTACATAAATGAGAACCATTACTCAATGAGTGGATGAAATTCTCTGCGTTTCGGCTTTTAAAAATATCTTCCATTGTTCATCTGGGTGTTTTTGCTTCAAATAAACAAGGTAATAAGATTATAAATACCAAGAGAAACATAAACCTTTATGTCAGGGATTTTAATCTGACTAGACAGCTCTACATTTGGAGATATTTCTCCCAAAGCTAACAAAGAAATCCTCTGTTCCTTTCCTCCATTTTCTCTTTTCCCTCATGACCAATCCAACACTGATGACAACAGATAGCAGCAGACAGTTGTTGCTTGCCTGCTAAAGTCTCCCTTCATAGATGATTAACTGCAGCCTTTACAGGAAATTGGGTTACGCGACACCCTCGGAGGAGAGATAAAAGACCTCTTCCTCACAGATGACGTTTCGGCTTGTCAAACACAGGTGTAGCTGATTACATTAATAATGGGCTGCGTTCCAGTCAGGTGTGCCGGTGCCATGTTGGCTCACTGGCACGCGTTAATGAAATGCAATCATCGTTAATCTCATTTGTTACACCTGTTCTTTTCCTGCTGCGCCAAACATCAGCTGTGATAAAGACCACGGCTAAGATGAATAATAACTTTCTCTACATTTTGTTGCATGTTTATTGTGATACATAGGGACTATCCATCCATGCTGTGACTGTCAGTCATTTTAAACAAATTATCTGTTAACAATTTTTATATACTTATTGATCAGTCTTTATCAGTCTATAAAATACACATTTTACAATTTCCAAAAGTCCAAAGTAAATTTTGGTTTGATTGGCTTATAGTGTCCGAACAAAGTCCCAAGCTCAATGATATTAAATGTATAGTGCTATAAAACAGAGAAAAGCAGCACATTGATCGGTCCACCATGTTGGTTCAGACTGAAATATCTCAAAAACCATCAAATACAAATTTTGTACAGACAGTCATGGTCCCCAGAGGGTGAATCCTGGGTTTTGTGATCCCCCTTAATTTGGTCTTTCTATTGATTTTGCATTTCTGGAGTCCACATATATTTTCCTGGTCAATCCACTTATCTAACCAGTAACTTTAGCATGCTGACGTTACAGCTTGTTGCTTGATAAATTACTTAAGCAAGTAATCGACAAATCACTTCAGCGGTATTAACATTCAACATTTCAATGAGAGGATATCTGTTTGCATGACATCGTCATTAGACCAGCACTGAACCCCTGAGTGGCTGACGCTATCATGTACCTGTTACATCGGGCTTATTCCCACCTGGACAAGATAGATACCACAGTGAGGATCATGATTTCTCCACTGCCTTTACCACCGTACAGCCTCTGCTGTTGGGAGCTCAGGGCCATGGAGGTGTCCTGAATAATGGATTACCTGACCAGCAGGCCACACTTTGTCTTTGAGACGGTGGGTCAGGAACTGTGAGCAACACAGGGGTCCCCCAGGGCACTACCCCCCCACCCCCACCCTTTTCTGTTGACTGTGTCGGGTGGTGCAGATTGAACCATCTGCAGCTGAACATAAGCAAGACGAAGTAACTGATTGTTGACATGCACAGGACTGAGCCTCTGACCCCTGTATCCATCCAGGGGGGGATGCCATGGTGGTTCACTCCTATGGATACTATTAATACGATAGTGGGCTGGGATGCTGCAGATGCTCTACCAGTCTGTGGTGACCACTGCTATCTTTTATTCTGTCATGTGCTGAGGCCAAAGCATGAGACGCTAACAAGCTCAACAAGCACAGGGCAGAGGAGAGCATTCCCGGCAGTCATCAAACTCTTTAACTCTCTGTCGCAGTCTGGACATCAGTGGACTGGGAGGATGCTGAGGTCTTACTTAACTCGCTAATTGGACTTTATAATTACATTAGCCATCAGTGAAACACATATTTTTGTAACTTTTAAAGTATAATTGCATTTATTTAGCAAACCGTACTACAGTTGGTATTGTTTATTGTCATGCACAATCACAAAAGCAAATTCATTGTTTGTGCAAAAATACTTGTTTTTGCTCTATTGTCGCTCTAAAATGAGCAGCACTGAGAAGTAGAAGGAGTATAAAAAAAGAAGCAGCATTTTAAAAGTATTGAGAAAATTTCCATCTGTATCTTGAGGTTGTAAATATAAAGGATGCCTTTTTTAAAAACTGACCTACATTTCCTTTTATTGTGGCCCACCTAAACCACGTGGTCCCTCGCCCCGTTCAGCCGTGACGAGGGTGTTTGTCTGGAGGCAGTAAAGTAGCTTAGCTCATGCCAATACTTAAGAGAAAGCTAAACACCTTGGCTAGCCTGGTTTGTTTGTCATCTCCACACTAGACAACTTTAAAACGTTTTGAGGCTTTAAATTGACTTTACTCTAAAGTATGCTTGTAAAGGGTAAACAAGAGTCTAATTGTGACATAAGGACATAAACCGTATAACCGATACTCTGCCTCCTTAATCCCCTCTGTTATAGCAAACTCATCATACAGCGTGCTTACCAAGGTATCACTGGGTGTAGTCTTGAGGGAGAAGGGTCCATGGCGTTTTATGAGCGTGAATCCAAAACAACGACAGCAGTAGTCCAACAACATGAATGGCTGCTGGTCTAAATGAGAGAATGTAGGCTACATGTGTTTGTGTGTGAGAGAGCATGTTGGGGAGGAGGAGGAGGAGGAGGAGGAGGGAGGATTGGATTAGAAGAAATGGGATTACTACTAAGAAGAGTACTAAGAGTAAATCCCATAAGGGATAACGGTGAACATACTCTTGTAGGATGAAGTTGGTTATGAGACTAAATACTTCAGGAAGTGCTACAGATACATATTTACTGACTATTAGTATTATTTCTTGAATTGTGCTTACCTTTGGGTATCTTCCTCATCCCTCCATTAAGTCATTCTGAATGTTCCGTTTTTTCCATTTCTTTACTTCCTGTTTCTACCATCCTCTTTCTTCTTTTCCGATCTCTCAGTTCTCCCATTGTGTCTATCTTTATTTTACTCGTTGCTTCCTTCACACACTGCGCCTCTCCTCTCTCCATCAAAATTAAAGGATAAAGCAGAAGAAGAACACGTCGGCATGAAGTCGAGCTGAAGCGATTAGTTGAATGACGGGCAGGTTATTAATCAGCAACTGTTTTCATATTCAACTGATTGTTTGAGTCATTTTTTAAGAACATTTCCGGCTTCTTCAGTACGGATCTGCTCCTTTCCTTTATCTTATATGATGTTAACTACATATTGTTTGGTTTTGGACTGATAGTAAGACAACAAAAAAAAATTACATTTGGGTTTCCCAACATATTATTGCCATAACAACTCATTGATAATTGAGAATATAAAAATGTATCTCCAAATGAACTTTGAATGTGGATAATTATTAGTTGAAGCCCTAGTATGACGGAGCTGCAGATACCAACAGTGACGACACACAACAACTTAACTTGACCTGAATGTATTTTGGAGGTGTGACTTGGTGAATCTTGCCTGAAGTAACTTTCTTTTACGCCCATTTTGATCTGTGATTCATCCTGGAAGTCCAGCTTTTGGGAAATCTGCAACAAAACATCAACAGAGACACGATTACAATCTTGTCTGGCAGTTTTTAGTATGAGCACTGGGTGGCAGCATAGCTTCACAGGCAGAGAGAGAGAGAGAGAACTTAATCCACCCATGAAGAAGCAACACAAGAACAAGATAACAGCCACATGCACAGCACTGACAGCAGCAGATAAGGTGCTCCCTGATGCACCATTCATACTTCTGACAATGGAGTCAGAAATCATTCTGCTCCATGTTGTATTTCACTTTGAGGTCTTGAATCAAAACAGACAAGCGAGGGAGAATATGTTCATCCATCATCTGCTCATGAAAAGACAGACGAGAAAGAAAAGAGGGTGAAAAAAGAAATGATGTGGCGAATGACGAAAGTTCAACAATGTTCCTCCGGCTGAAGAAACTGTATTCAACTCTTCAGCGTCACAGCCTGCGTATGTCTCTGTGTGTGTGTGTGTGTGTGTGTGTGTGTGTGTGGGGGGGCTGCTACGGCAACCTGCATCATCGTATCCATAGTGATGAGAGCAGGGGAGTGGGAGAGGGGATGGAGAGCAAGGTAGGCGTCCTATTCATCCCCCTGTGTGTGTGTGTGTGTGTGTGTGTGTGTGTGTGTGTGTGTGTACATTTTATTACTGCGAAGCTCACAGAAATCAGGTTTTTCTTTTATATCTAGATGTTTCCTCTGACTCAAAAATAGCAATATAAATTGCATCTGTGATTCACTTTATTTTGACTACATGCTGAATAGGAAGTGACAGCAAGCGGGTGATTTGCGTAGTTCAGTTTATAGAGAGCGGAAGCAGGGGGAAACAGCTAGCCTGTCTCTGTCCAACGATAACACAATCCACATACCGGCATCTCTAAACTCATTTACACAATATATCTTGTTTGTTTGATCCGTATGGTAAGTATAAAAAGACAATCCACCATTTAACTCAAGGACGTTACTGATCCCGGCTACGGAAGTCAGGCACATAACCCCCCCCCCCCCCCCCCCCCCCCATAGAGTGTAAAGCTTTAGAGGTGCTGGTATGGCAGATTTTCTTACATTTATTTGGAGAGAACCAGGCCAGCTGTTTCGCTCTGCTTCCAGTCTTTATGCTAAGCTAAACAGCTGCTGGCTCCAGCTTATTTACCGTAAAGGCACGAGAGTGGCATTGATCTTTTCATGCAACTCTTTGCAAGAAAGCGAATAAGCTTTCCCAAAACGTTGAAGTATTTCTTTAATACTCTAAGGTAACGAAAACACAATTATTCTTATTTTTCAGTTGATTATACACTAAAGAAAAGATACTTCTTAATATTATATTCCATTTTTGCCAACAGATCCCACTAAATGCTGCACACTGTTCCTTTAACTGCAGGTACTGTATATGAATGTGAACCTAAGTATCAGAATTATGAGTCAACATGTGTCTTAGGTGACGTTCATTAAGCCTCAACATCAGTTAAGTGATCTCAACTTGACAATTTAAAACACACATTTTCAGCCCAACACAGCAGAAGCTCAGCAGTGGTGGAATAACAAGAACAGATGGATTTCAAGGCACTTATGAATTATTAAGCCCATATAAACCTCAAACGACAAACAGGACTTTTTTTTTTTTTTCAAGGAGCACAGTGAAGCTAAAAAAACTATAACTCTGGTATCCTGTCATAACAAAAAACTTTAACAAAACAGTACATTGCAGTACATTTAGATATCAGTACGAAGCATGTTAGCAGATGATCCGAGTATGATAAATGGGACTGACAGACGATTCAACAGCGTGCTTCTGTACCTACAGGAAGTGTTTACACCTCACGAGTGGCTTTAAACAATCTGTGTCGTATCCACAGCAGCAGAGAAATGAACATGCTGTTCCTCTGCTGTTCTCCTGATCTGTTTATAAATTCCATGAAAACCAACGAGACGCACAGAGAGGCTCATGAGAATTCATTGACCTACATGTCAACATGTGTTTTGTAGGAGCAGAGACGCTGTAATTATCATTCAGTGTGTGTGTGTGTGTGTGGGGTACGGATTTTGACGTCACACAAAAGCTCAGTTTGATGCGTCATAATTCATTCAAAATGTACAAAAACAGGCAATAACGGCAGTAACTGGTTAGTGAGGAAGAGGCTTGCATACCAAGTGAGAAAGAAAGAAAGAAAGAAAGAAAGAAAGGGGCTGCTTTATACTTTCTGACATGTTGTAGAACAAAAGATTAACCCATACCGCCCTTAACCCTTCATTCACATGTCCCGCCTTCTCCCAGCTAATTACCCAATCACTAAGCATAAAATGACCCTTGCATGTCTCCTTTTGGCTTCCATCAAGCCCCCAATCTGTCAATCATACTTTGATACATTGAGATATTATTTTTTCAAATGATAACATTTTTCAAACGAACCAATTCTCTGCTGTCCACCACAGACGTTTCCACTCTACTTCCTCCCCTTGCCTCCTCCTCCCCCATTTCCTCTCCTCCTTTTCTTTCCAAAAATCGTGCAGGGCCGAGATCCTTCTTGTGGCACTGGCACCTCTGTGGCACTCTGTGGCACTCAGCGGCACTCTCTCTGGCACTCAGCGGCACTCTCTGTGGCACTTCAGCGGCAAGCGTCAGCTGTGGCAGGCGAGCGGAACTAGTTCGGAACCTGTCAAGAAGCGGAGGAGCTGAGGGGGCGGAGCCACATTTCCTGAGACATTTGCTGAGAACACACATTGTTGTTATGACAGGCCAGCTTCCGTAAATCAGTTTTATGATTTTAGTTGAGTCACCGGAGCCACCCGTTCTCTGTATGCATCCTTAGAGTAAGTACGTTGTACTTTTTTGTTTCTCATTCATTTTATTTAAGTATGATTTTGCTGGTTTTGCAACAGAAGGGAACATAATACACTCTTTCCAAATTATTACTTTTACAGTCATTTACAACAATCGGCTAAAATAATGAAAATAAATCATCCGTTTTATTATCATTTAAAAGTATATATATATATTAAAAATTAAAATTAAAACCCATAAAATGTCCAATCCAAAAATACATGTCTGAAAATATCTTCACTCTTCCTCGGCTTATATGTATATGTATGTCAGTAGGTGCCAGAGGGTGCCAGAAGGTGTGCCAGAGAGTGCCGCAAGGTGCCAGAGAGTGCCAGAGAGTGCTGCAAGGTGCGCAGGGTGCCAGAGAGTGCCAGAGAGTGCCGCAGGGTGCCAGAGAGTGCCGCTGAGTGCCAGAGACAGTGCTGTGGAGTGCCACAGAGTGCCGCTGAGTGCCACAGAGGTGCCAGTGCCACAAGGATCTCGCTGTCTCTCCAAAAATCCTTTCCCTGTCAGTTACATTTTCCCTTTAATTATTTAGACTCCTGTCCACAGCTGCTTACAATAAGTATAACCCAAAAAGTCAACACATTTTGTAAATCCCATAATCCCAAATGGGCTTGTAAACGAGAAATGCAACAGTCAACAATGTAAGGCTTTGTTTTTCCCTCTCCTCTTTCTCCCCACACTCTCTCCACGTCTTCCTCCTGTTTGGTTTCTCTCTGCAGCGTGTTTTCATTTCGATCTATTATGGAATGTAAATACAGCAACTGACTGACCGCTGCAGCAGGGATAGGGCTGTTTTGTGAGTGTTACAGACGGTTTATATAATCTTACAGGCTCCAGGAGTCTCCATAAGAGCAAAAGAAGTGGGGATGCTTGAGGATCCCTTCGGATTATGGCGAGTGTGTGTGCAGAGAGGGTGTTATAATTAGAGTTAATATTGGGGTTAGGGTCAGGCGTGTCATGGTCAGGTCGAGGACCAACACAGCGTCCCAGTGACTGTGTACAAATGTGTCCGCGCATGTTCAGCTGTACTATTCTGCCCTTGGGGTGCTGCATTTCTCACCAGCCATCTGAACAAATAATGGTCTTTCTGTGAGTGTGTGTCTCTTTCTCTCTCTCACACACACACACACACACACACACACACACACACACACACACACAC